ACCGGGCGAAGGGTTCCAAAGTGGAAAGAACATGCATGCAGAACGATATGCCAGTGGCCGAGCAACAACAGACATGCGGCTATGCTCGCCGACGCGCCTCATCCGCCAGTCCGCAGCGGGCCAGGCTCTGAAGTGGCGGCCTGGTTGACCCTGCGTGGTATGCATAACATTACCTCATGCTGGAATGACTGTTTACCCGCCATTTCTTGCAATAGTGATTCGTTATCATTACAAGCTTCGGAATGTCCATCGGCTGTCGTATCACATGTGTCTCATCCTTGTGTGCTATGCACGGTACCTCTCCTCATCGCTTGTCGCACCCACGTGATGTGCCCAAGAGGGCTACACCCAACGGGTGTTCTATGATCTGTACTCAATAAGAATTTGAAGACAAATGTGGCATCAATGATAAGAACTATATTGATGCATAGATCACAGATGTCTGACATGTGTTTGATTTGTGTCGGGATAAGTTGTCCAGTCTTTAGCCCCTGCAGCGTGGCGATGGTTTGGTGGCAGTCCTCCAAGTGATGGGTTGTTGCTAGAGTCTCAACTGACTAGATTGAGCGCGCTTAAAGTGGATGCGACTTACTGTGCGCATCTGAATTGTGGACAACGAGATATCCGCTAGGCGTGTGTCCACGCAGTAGTATGCTGGCGCCTCGGATGACATGCCCATTCGACTTCGTCGCCAGCATCGCCGTTGAGGCGACGGTAACCGAAGTCGCTGTGCAGGCCCACTTCGGGCGTTTAGGACGTCGAAAAAAGGGGGGGGGCTTGATTGCCGGTGAAACTTGCGACTTTGAAACCAAAGCCCTCGGAAACTCAATGAAAATGCATCACAGATAGTGTGGTCAATCTTTGTTGAATCCACTCCGAAGGAATACCGTTGGTGGACCACATGCAAGGCAGCCGCTCAAAAGACGTTTTGGACGGCCTGTACGTCGCGAACCACATCATGACCGCGCGCCCAACACTCGGACCGAAACGCACGAAGCCCGCAGCGGAAGTGACAACTAATATCCAAATCCAACACTGCAATCGCTGAAAACTCGCCGGGCCTTTTCGACGTGCCCACTGCGTTGCGCGCGCTCTCTCGCGGTTCAAAACAAGTTCAACATTTAAGGAGCATGATTTAAAGGGGCGCACGTTTTCACGCCAATGTTGCTAAGCAGTTTCAAGGGCGCAATATAAAAGGCGCGCAGACAATTTCAGGGGCAAAGTTTCAAAGGACTCAGATTCAGGAAGACGGCGCAGCTCCTGCAGCATGCGTCAAAACCTCCCCGAAGGGAGATGCGACCCCGCCGGGAACCAGAACATACCCCAGGCACTCCAGGGAACCTGGGGCCCAAATGGGCCCAAGAAGGCCAGTGGGCAAGATCTAGATTTCTGGGGATGGGCTGGGGCACCTGGAGAAAAACTGCCAGGGAACATCGGCGATCCGCGAGGCGTGTATGTCCACTTCTCCTGTCGGAATCATTGCTTGGTCTGAGATCAATACTTTTGTAGTTTCCGTGTTGCGGCGTTGAGTCGTCTCACTTAAGCGTTGGTCCGTCCATGGGCACGTTGTAGAGAAACCGCGCGGTGATCGAGGCGTGCGCTAACGCGCCGCGTAAGCTGATTTAACATATCTGACACAGTTTCCGTCGCCTTCAATGCTTCCTGCTTCTGCTCCAATCAGCTCTGGGTACTGTGTGGGGCGAAAATGGTAAATCCATTGGTCCTGGTCAAATTGGGCGTGGTCGTCCTCGGGCATCGTGCATCGTGCGGCGCGCGCTGCAAACAATGTGAAGTTTCGATGGGAGGCGCAAATCCCTGCAGTTCCCCTCGCACCGAAGCTGCTGCACGTGGTCGTGCGAAGCGCGCCATGCGCTTTTGTTCGCCAGTTGCGAAGTCGAGATCGGTCAAGCCCTCCAGGAAATCCTGATCTGCGTCCACGGGCGCAATGATCCATGACTTTGCACGCGCGCGAACGTACTCGCGGGCAGTCTCTGACCAGCCTGCCAAGCTGCGCCAGGCAATGCCCCCGCGTCGAAGGCCCGGACGTCCATGGAACCGCACGTACGAGGCATCGCCTGGTAGTGCGTTCAAGTTCGCCAAGTTTTCTTCTCCACGACTTTCCATGTGCGCGCGCAGCGCGATGTCATGAGCACGGTTCATGTCTGATATCCGGCATCTAAGAGCACTTGCTATCTTACCCGTTGTTACGTCTCGTGCGCACATCCTGACAGAGTGTGCCTGAATTTCAGCCTAAGAGATCGGCTTCTTTGATGGCGGCGGCTGTCTTTGATGCAGCGGGTGCGCGTGATCGCGCCGTTATGATATATTGTCGACGCTGCGCAGTCTGCGGCACTGCCCCGTCAGCGCGGCGTTGAACATGTCTGCGGCGAAGCAGAGCTCAACAGACTGACCGTGTTTGCCCGCATCAAGACAGTCGGTCTCGTCATGGTCACTTCTACGCATGTGCATGTGAACGAGATGCGTCTCCTCAATGTCGCGCTGCCGCTAGCCGAGTCTCCGCAAGTTGCCCTGCTCTTCGCGGGCCCCAACCGCCAGCGATGTTGTTGGTAATCGTCTAGGCCGTCCAGTATACAGGGATTCCAATGGATTGTCTCCTGTCTTTTCCTCTTGTGATTCTAAGTGCCATGCCTCCAAGATGTGAGATTCAAGGTCCGCCTCCGATTCCTCGGCAAGACAGGGCCGTGGCTGCTCCTCGCAAGCGTGTCCCCTCGAGGATGGCGCGTCCGCCAGGTCCTCGAACTCGAGCGGGTCCTCGACGAAGCCTGCTATGGGCTTTGAATTTTTGGGCCCTGGATGGCTTGTGCGCGAAAGGGCCCAGAGATGCCGAGAATATTCGGGGCCGCGGCGTCGGATCCGCACCGAGGGAACCCCGGCGCAACATAGACGCCATCATATACAAGCGCGCGACTTCCATCGCAACGCGCCGCAAATCGCCCGCGGATGCTCTTAGCCAAGCGTGCTGTCACCATTTTTTCGATCGGGTAGTTCCTGTGAGAGAGATTGCAAGGCTATGTGCACTTTCGGCGAGAGTCGGCTCGCCGCGGCAAACCACGGGTACCCCTGCTTGGTGGGCAAGCAGCCAAACACCATGGTAGGCCCGCGGTGAAGGCCAGCACTTCTCACGTAGCCGCCATGTCGGGGCCGACCTCGCGGACAGTGATGACTTCTACATGCAGAGTGTGACGCGGGCCTGGGTGCGGTGCCAGAACCTGTCGGCCGCCGACCTGAACTGGTGTCTGACCTCGGCCTGGACGATTGCGCGGGACTGGGCATGGTCAGTTCTATCCTCCACAGTCGTTCTTTATGAAGGTAGGTCGGTGAAAGTCCACGAGTTCACCTGGAAGACGATCCACTGTTTGGCCTCCCTGGCCACTTGGACGTGACGTTCAACAATGAACGGTGCTAATTCCCCAAGCAAGTCCGCAACTCGTTCCGGCGACACGTATACAGACATCAATGGGTGATTTCCCGCTCGCGCACGCCAAACAAACGCTCCGCACGATCGCGCATCTGCAACCAAAGCTTCGGCTTGCAAGTTCTTGCACGTGAAGGAATATCGATACTTTCCATCACGCTTCTGCCGAATAACATATTATATGATACCTGCTGTCGCCGATTTCTCCAGCGAGGCTGACTGCACGTTAGACTCCACTGCTATCTTGCAAGGCCTTTCAAGCTGAAGCACGCACTCCTGCACCAATGCATTGTGAATCGGAACGTCATGTATCGAAATGGGCACTTTGAATTGTTCAACTGCTTGCACTGAGCTCAACATGAACGCGTACAAAAATGAAGAAGTGTTAAGATTCAGATGGTCTTGCCAACCTCCCGTACGCTTCAATATGTGCAGATGGCGCAATGCACAATAAAACACGCGAGAAGACAAAACGTTAGAGGGTGCTGCCAAGGCGTGCGCTGGGCCTCCATAGAAACCACAAGGGCTTGGGATGACGTCCCAGACCCAAACGTTACTGCTGGTGCTGAGTGTACGTTGCTTCAGAGCTCGCTTCAACACGGGAGCGGACCTCCCCCGAATCCACACTCCCGCAACTCCTATCGAGGAGAGGCGCCCGGCGGCAGGGCCGGAAACCAGCCGCACGCAGCAGATCTTGCACTGCCAGAACAGGGGCAGAAGAACACCGTTCAAGAACATGAGACCCTCCGCGGGCCAAACTGAAGAGCCTTCGAGAGAACCCGTCCTCAGGATGCACAAGGGCATGCAACACACACACACGAAGACTATTAGGGTACCCTCACCGAGCCGACCTCGATCTTATACCTCGGTCCGACAGTGCCCAATCCCCCTTTCCCTTGAGTGCGTCCTGGGGGGTCTGAGCCGTGGGGAACCCCTGAAATCAAAACGAGAGGGGCATCAAAGGGGGCAAATGGGTCGGTCGTCAGAATCCAACTTGAGATTTTTCTCGGCGCCCCAGCCCCAAGCTGAGGAGCACGATCGACGACATAGGCTGCCATATCTGCCCCTGCCTCCTCCACCCCCTTCTCCTCCTCCTCCTCGTCCTCCTCCTCCTCTTTTCTTCCTCCCATCCCCTCCTCCTTCACCTTTCCCTGTCCCTCCCCTTTCGTCCAAAACCCGCGCCTGCTCCAGGCTCAGCCGAACCTGGGGCAAGATCGGCCGGAGCCGGCGCCGGCGCCGGCGTCGTCGTCGTCCTCGTCGTCCTGATCGTCGTCGTCGTTGTCGTCCTCGTCGTCCTCGTCGTCCTCGACGTCGTCGTCGCAATGTGTGAATCGACCTTGGATCGGTGAACGAAATTGAATCAGGATGTGAATCGAACCAGGCGGCGTCGATACGGGCTCGAGGCCGAATCGGGTCGGCCGCGCAAAAGTGCACAACGACTCCATGCGAACATCGGGCCGCACCACACCGTGAGAACATCAGACTCGAATCGGGCTGGGCTGGCCGAGATCGATATCGAGTCGGACCGATCGAACCGGTCCGATTGGATCGAGATGGGACCTGCCTGGTCGCGCTCCTGCGTGCGGAAGTTGCAGGCCAGCCGCCTGAGGACCACGCAGCTGACCAGCAGCTCCTCGACGGAGATCCCGGCGGGAGCGGCGCCTGTGCTGTGGGCGACCTGGACGAACAGCTGCAGACGCCGGGCGTGCAGCGCAAACTGCTTCGACATCTCCACCCGATAGGACGCCTCTCGGGTGAGCCAGTCGGCGGCGAGCCCGGGGGGAAATGAGGAGGAGAAGGCCCTCTCAGAAGGCCCGGAAGGAAGTCAGGCCCTCTGAGCCTCTGAGAAGTTTCCCTAAGCTTCCCCGAAGACGCAGAAAACCTCTCAGAGGGCGCGAGGGCTTCCGAGAAGTCCCGCCACCTCCTGGGAAGACCTCCTCCTCCTCCTCCTCCTCCTCCTCCTCCTCCTCCTCCTCCTCCCACTCCTCCTCCTCTTCCTCCTCCTCCTCCTCCCCCCTCCCACCCTCGCTCGTCGCTGAGCCGAAGAGGGGGGGTCAGGAAGGCGCCACGTAGCGCACCATGGCCTCTTAGGCACGTGCGCGGGGGCGATAGGGGGCCCCGCCACGCCTGGAAAACACACGGGGGCCACGAGTTCGTGGCCCCGGCCACGCTATCCACACGCCCGCTTCCTCACCCCCCTCCTCGACGACGCGGGGCACCTCTGGTGCCACAGCTCGGGCCTCTGGCGGCCGATCGGGGCGATCCCGGGCACCCCCCGGGGACCCCGGGAAGCGCTCGACGAGGCGCAGCTGCTGGAAAGCATCCCGAGGTGGAACGCCTCGAAAAACCGACGGCGACTCTGTTGCCGAGGACGGAGAATGATTATCGGGACACCCGAACGTAATCAACGAACACACCCAACTGTAGCCTGGGGCCTCGGCCCGACTGCACTGGTACAGTCTCGAGGACTTCACACGGCTGCACGTGCTGGCCATGCTTTCGCTTCGCACGCGCTGGGCACGTCAGGGGGGAAAGGAGGGGAGGGGAGGGGAGGGGACGAGGAGGGGGAAAGAGAATGCATGGTGCAAGCTTGTATGTCTATCCCCTCCCCCCTCCCCCTTCGACGACGAACGCGTCCTCACCCCTCTTCCTGGACGCCCCGAGCACACCTCGGCACTGCGGCGCCAAAAGATGACGGAGCCCGGGAACACCAGGACCCGTATGCGGAAGAAGAAACGCCGGCACGAGCATAAACTACGCCACGATAGCATTCACACAAACACCCGCCGACGAGTGTTCCTCGTATCTTCAAGGGAGGGTGGCGGTTTACACAATCGTTGGCTCGTAGTGGTGATGTGTGTACCGTGACCCTCCCGGGTCACGGTACACACATCACCACTTGGATCGGGTCGGGCGAAAGGGGGGGATAGCAAAGGGGGGGTTTGAGAATCAGCTCACGTAGCTGATTTTCCCGGCGCCTCGCGGCGCTGGAGGCGCCCATGTATCGAGGAATGGGCCCCTCGGTGAGGCCGAAACCAGATGCATGCAGCAGATTTCGTACCCCCCCTTTCCCAATCCCCCCCTTTCGTCCGGCCCGACATGAGCCCTGGGAACAATCCGCTGAGGGTGCCTGTGTATACTTCAGTGTTGCGGATCAACTTTCGCAGGTCCGCGCGGATCTCGTGCGGATCGGCGCCAAGCTCTCCCTCGCGGTGCCCCTGGCGCCGCCCCCAATGCAAGAAGCCCGCGCGGACCTCTGAAATTGGCACGCTCGAAGGGACGCGGACACAAATAGGTACGACTCCCAACTGGAAAGTGCGTGTGTGCAAAATCGGAGGTGGCCGCTGTAGGGCAGGCGATTGTTTGTTCCAAGTGGGCAACACCATTCGCGGCGACACTGACAGTGAGCCCTGCTCAAAGCGAGCAGGAACTGGTGCCAATCTTCCTGCCCATTCTATACGTACCCATTTCGATCGTACGGGCGAAAACTTATGCCTATGCCGACTTCTCTCCCTCGAGTATGGCGAACTGCATCACCGACCAGACGACGCCGACGTCCAGCAGCACCTGATGGGGAAAGTTGGGGGGGCACCAGCGCAAGGGGGGAAGCAACGAGCTGGCATCGGCGAGACATGGCCGATACTTCGGCGATAGGCCCCCGATAGCGAATCCGCACCTTCCTGGGCAGGGCGGGCTATCATTGGAGGCCTGGATATGGGCACCAACACCAACACAGGGGGTTGCCTCCACAGGGGGAAGATGATCCTAGATTTCGCTGTTGGTGGTGATATGCCGGTCACCTTGGAAGCCAGAACATTACCACCATCACCGAGATCGGGATCTTTTTCCCTCGGTGGAGGCGCACCGCCGATTTTGGTGTTGGTGTCAACCTCTAGGCCTGCGATATCAGGCCTTGGCGATCAATGGGCGATTGGGGGTCGACGCACCCCCCTGAGCCAATGGTCCTCGTCGTCCGGCTTTCGGGCCACAACTCGGACCTCCGGCGGCCGCTCGGTTCGATCTGTGCACCCCTCGAACGCTCTCGGCGAGACGCGGCCGCTTGAGCGCATCCCGCGGCTAGAGAGCCAGCGAGAACCGACGAAGCCGCCCAAAAGCCTCGAGCCTCGCACCCGAAACGTTCCTCCTTGGAGCCTGTCCCCCCCCGAATGCTGCCCCCGAGCACCGCGCCCGCTGCGGAGAAGCGCCTGGCCACCCACTGGTTGGCCACGACCTCGGAGGAGGAGCAGAGGACCTCCGCCACCGAGAACCTATCAAAAGGGGCCCACCCCCTGGGTAAGCGAGCGGCATCTTGTCCTTGCCCGTGCTCGCGCCCCGACCCAAGAGGGTCTGGAGCGGGATACGGATAAACTCCTGGCCTCCAAGGCCACGTCGTTTCACCCATGCCCTGCTTCCCCTGGCGCCCAGAGTGGGGGGCAGTAGCAGAGGTATGGATCGAGCCGCGATCGTCGACTGGGCCCCGACCCGACGGCCTCTCGCTTGCGGAGGTCTCCCCAGACATGCGATGTCAGAATTTCTGCAATACTGGGTCCCCAGACGTCCCGACCCTTACGCTCGGGCGCGCTGTCGCCCATGGGTCGGCTCCCACCAAATGGGTTTTCGCTGGCGGAGGTCTCCCCAAACATGCGATGCCCTGATTTGTTTTATACGGGCCCCCCGAAGTCCCGACCGTTTCCCGAGGGCAAATGTTTCATCCAGGGTCGTTTTCTCTTCGGCCCCGGGGCCTTGCGAGGGCGCCCAGAGGCTGAAAAGTGACCAAACCCTCCCGCCGTGTTTTTGTTCAGGACGCGAGCGTGTCTGGGTCGATGCCCGCCTGATGGTTTCTCGATGGCGGAGGTCCCTGTTTCTCGGAGGACGGCGATTCGAGACAGAGCGAGTTGAGACAACTTGTTTTTTCACCGCAAGGCAACCAACCACCTCGACCTCATGACCTGGAACACGAAAACGAAGCTGCGCTACAACGTTATATATAGGATAACATGATGGCTGCTTAACTGCAAAAAAAAACGACGGGGCATGCGCACTATAGTACACCAAGCCAAGAAACGACTTGGAAGCAGGCCAGAGAAATGAGACAGTCCCTATGCGTCAAGGACACACACACACGCGAGGCCAGGAGGAGGAGGAGGAAGAAATGCAGGCGCCAACAGAGGGAACAGGCCGCGTGGCAGACGCACCCCCGCTGACGCCATGGCCAGTGGTACCTCACACAGATACGGAGCAACGAATCGGAGGAGAGTGGAAAAAGAGGATAGAGAGAGAGAGAGAGAAAGAAAGATAAACAAACAAACGACAAACAAACAACAAACAAACAACAACAACACAGAGGAGAACGGACGGGGCGAGGCCGCCTGCACCACTGAAAAGTCTTAGTGAATGCCACGTAACCGGAAGCTAAAAATCGGTTGCCGGACTCCTTCCAGAGTCCAGGCGCACCGATGTTCCTAGCTGCGTCCACCCGTGGCGGCGAGGGCCCCCCCTCGGAGGCCAACTACCGTGCCTCAATTCGCCCTATTCAAGAAGGCTTGGTTTTCGAGTCGAACCTTGGGTGCCCAAGCTTTACGGATGCCCGTAGGCCCGACCAGAAGCTTCGCCTTAGGCGAAGCACAGCTCCAGCTCTGTTGTACCGTAGCAACGAGATTCCCAATAGTAGGAGGTCGTCGCGGGAGCGACGGGCCATCTCAAGCGAAGGATGTTTTCGGTGTCGGTGGCGAATCGTATGCGTCGCAATGAGGCACACTCAAATACGGGCGGCCGGCCGTTTGAGCACAAACGGCCGCGGACAAACACTCGTTATCTCTCGCCCTTGTCCCAGCTCGCTTTAGAGTCGGTGGGGAAGGGAGAAGAAGCGTGAGTCCGCCGCCACTATACAGCAGATGCAGCAGATACTGTGTACAAAAGGCAGCAAAACGCGGGGCATTAAGGAAGGCAGACCCGCAAGCAAGTTGCGTGCAAGCACATTGCTGTGCATGTGATTACTCCTCAGGCGGCCACAGACCAAGATGTCTGACCAGCCCGATAAGGAGTATGACGCTTTAAGTCATGCTTGAAGGGTTGCGTTCATCCCGTGACCTGTAGGAGCATATCTCTGTCAATGCTCCCCTTTGTGTGACCATCTGCGGTCATGTCGCGAGTGTCACACCACTGAATGCCATGCGCGATTCCTCGCTCCATCATCTGCCGTATCCAACTGATGTGTCCTAAAAAGGGACACTCAGTCGGCTTCTTCAGGCCTTTGCTTGACAAGGACTTGAAAACATAGTCCGCATCTATGGCCAAGGAGACCTTGATGCTCAGGCCACCCAACTCAAGTACGTCTTTCATCTGAGTGGGGGTCAGGGACCTGCATGAAACTCATGCACGAGTCACGATCGTGGGATAGCAGTCCTCCAAGTTGCTGGCTGCTGCAAGTGTCTCTGCTGAGTGGCTTGAGCGAACCTGCCAGCGGTGAGACTTGCAGTGCGCATCGATCAAGTGGACGACAGGCTTACCGGACGGCGTTTCCACGCCGTAGCAGGTTTGCCCCGCGAATACAATAGCCTTTGACTTCGTCGCCGGCATCTCCACACAGGCGTCGATGGCCGGAGTCGCTGCGCAGGTCAACTTCGCCCGTTGGAGTCATCGACTGACAGACGATCTTCATAGGGCAGGCCTGAAACTTCCCGGTGGTCGCGTTCAGTCGTCGCACTTGTATAGTGGTCGGTTCCTGGACACGTTGTAGAGAGACCACATATACCATGAACCACACTTGGGTGATTCGTGCGTAAGCCTATGCGCCTCTGAGGCTGAAGAACATGTCTGCAACCATATTGGATGCCTTGGCGTCGGCGTCGGCGACGGTGAGTTCAGGATGTTGTATAGGACGGAGCTGTTTAATGTGTTCATCTTGGTCCGATGTGACATTCCCACCCCCATCCTTTGCGTGCCTCGCAACACAATTGGTATATGTATGCTTGTTGAGTTTGCACTTGCCAAGTGACCTCGACGCACGTGACGCACTTGTCAATTGTGTCATCAGTGCCGGCCATATTGATATCATCAACATGTTTGGCTGTGGGCAAGTTACTGCTCGTCTCGAACTCCTGGTCGTAGGACGTGGGTCTGAGACCGCAGCCTCTCGCGGTCCTTCTGAGCTTCAGTGGGGAAGCTCTGGGTGCATCCTTGGTGCCGGCGCCTGGCTTGAGCCGCTGCAGGCAGTGCTTCGACTCATCGTAGTGCTACAAGCCTAAGAGGGATCGAAGCACCGTTGCCGATCCAGGCGGCAGGGTAAAGCACATCATAAAGTCCTGGTAGGTTAGTCCTTTCAGGAAAGCCATCTTGATGTCAATGGAAGCAACGATCCATTGCTTCTCGCACGCTGCCGCACATGCGGAAAATCTCCCGCTTGTCCCCCGCGCTGTCCCTGAGCCGGTTTCCGCGTCAAACGCTTCGAGGCTCATGAAGCCCCGAAGCACCAAGCGCAGTCTGATGGTACGTTCCATTTCGCCGTTTTCGTTCTTCACGAACTTCCATGTCTACGCGTACCTCGAAGTCATGATGTTTGACGCTTTATATATATCCTGCATCTTGAAACACATGTTGTCAAACCATGTCTTGAGTTCAATATAGGGGCCTTTGATACTTTCTCGGGATTCGCCTGGACGTCGGCCTTCGCGAGGAGGTCGTCTTCCTTGACAACCGCAGCTCGTTCTGCAGCGGCAATGACATATGCTCGCATGGTGGTTGCGCGGTCGGCATCTAATCTCCTGCTGTTGTTCGGATCGGGCGAC